TTTTGCCATCCAGCGGATGTCAATGCGTGAGAGACTCTGGAGGAAACAATTTTTTGTCGATTCGTGATTGGTTGAAAATGACGCGAGCGCGCATTGTTTTCAAATCGGTTTTTCAAGTCGCCAGCGCGCGCTCGCCTGTTTGATCAAAAATATCATACTTTTATCGCATAAACACACATGTTTTCACACATTTGTGTTTTTTAAAAGGTGTCAATGCCGTTCCTAAACTAAGTTGTGTGCTAAACCTTTTTCTTTTTTATCATTTTAATGCTCTAAAAGCAGAAAACAAAATTGACCTCATTTGCATAATTTGCGACGGAAAAGCGTCGCAAATCCAGTCGATTCCTCCAGAGTCTTTCCGGCGTCAGCATACCGCTGACTTTAGCCGTGAAGACTCTGGGCTCGAGATTGTTCCATGCTCATACTTTCCTGTCAACCTCGTTCTTATCCCACCTTTAATAAGTAGTTAGTTATATGCCGCAAATTCGCACGTGAATATGATAAATGAGGCTATCACAGATAAACTCAAAAACACAAATCATAATAACATAAAGTAGATAAGAATTTCAATGACTTGCGAGGGTGCGAACCAGTTGTCAATATTATAAAGCATCGCCCCATGCTGACTCCTCCTGCTGACTTCCGAACCCTAAAGAAGGAATAAGGGCCAGGGAAATGGGATTGCTTTCCTAAGTCAGTCAAAAACAAGCTGTTGCATTCATTTTAATKACCTATTGGAATAATTCCTTTTCGTTAAGCCCGGCAGTGTTGTGCAGTTCAGTCCAGGCGTCGCGGGCGTTGCACGTTGCGGGGTCAGCCTCTTTCCCAGTCCCTTATACGAAACGATAGGATAAGAGGATAGGGATGTGGTTATTGTGGGGTTTATTGTTGACCCGTTTTACACAAGTTTTAGCTGAAGCTTATTTTCTTGCAGCTGGTAAAAAACAGAAACCTCGACGAACACCAACACCACACCAAAGTTGCAATAGAAGCACTCCAGTCTCGCGGTTCTCGCAGCGTGCGGGGAGCTGCAGTAGGTATCCACTGAATCCAAACCCTCTTGTTGGAGAAAAACTCGTGGTAGCAAAGGGAAGTCATCGATCTTTAGTATTGACACATGGTGGCATAAGATGTAATGATTATATTGAAGAGATAGTTCCAGGAGTAACAGTATAGCAGGAAATTGTTCCTGTTCAAAATATTTATCACTTCTAARGGAAGGTACGTTTATTACTGGGGGGRAGGGCTGGAGTTTTCAGAGWAATTTTTCCATAAGAATGTGTGGCCCTCCCCTCAAAAGTTCCCAAAATACTAATGGAACCCTATATAGTATGTCGGTCCATGAAAAATCGACTCGATGGTATAACATTTTTTCTTAGCTAAAACCTAAAAACTAGGATGACACTCCCCTATAGATACGCTTTTGAGTGAGGATGTGACCCTCCCCTAAAGCTTGCAAAAATGATATATGACCCTCCCCTCTCCCACTCCAGCCCTCCCCTCCCCAATAATAAACGTACCTTCCTTAAGAGTATAAACACAATCGATTTTTGACTGAGTGATCATTCTTTTCTTTTGTTCATCAGCGCTGTTTATCATAAATTGCTGTAGGATAATCTTGTTTATACTCTTTAGTAGGATTATTTGTCATAAATATGCGATGGAATTTAAAATTCACTCTTCACTGTTAAGCATGCTAAAGCTTAGAAGTCAAACTTCTTTCTTTTCTCAATTCGCGGGTYTAAAAAACTCGAATAATTTTAAATTATTGTAAATAATTGATGAATTTTTCAATTGGCAGTCACTTAGCACTCATAAAACTGGAACACAACATACAATGCTTGGTGGTAAATACATTCGTTTTTAAAAACGTTGATTCAAATACAAATGAATAAAGAAAATAATAACAATGAGCTCATTAAAATTTGTTCTCGAAATTTAACAGCTAGCCAAGTTTTCTAGGTTTTTCTTAGTGAAGCGTCCATAAACTACTTTGGATCTCTTTTTCTTTTCTTGGTTAATTTTTGAAAGCTCAGCAAATCTGCAAAAATTTTCCTTTTTTTTCCTTTTTTTTTATATTTCATTTGAGTCAACATTTCTGAAAACAGTTGTATAAGCAAAATAAAATAAGTAACTTAAAGTTTCAAGGTTTTAATGTTGGTGTTTTGTCGGTTTAACGATGAAGGAGGTACATTGGGACTGAGGTTTCTTAGCCTGGGGGTCTGGTAGGAGGGTCACGTTAAATAAAACCTAAATCAATTAATATTGATTGCCACAGTAAAATTTCKKAGCTCTCACAAGACTGCATCAATCCGATCCAGTAGAAGACTGTAGAATGAAGTTTTGGTGTGTTCAAAATWGTAAGGGAACTAATACAGTAATCAAACCCTGGCAATGATATGAATATTGTAGGTAGTTTACCATAAASTAGCTAAAAAACACAATAATTTTCATCTACATTATTCGAATGGCACCGGTGAATTCCTACAGCTATACAATTTAAAATTTTTATGTAAGCAATTTTGCGCGTCTTAAACAATCTTCTATACTTTTTGCATGTGCGTGATAAGCACAATGTTAATAGTCTAATCGAAGCTTTTAATAATACATGCGGAGAGATCTACAAAGTGGCTTCATTTTGAACACACTTAATAGATAKACTTAATGTACACATATATAGCCAGTTAGTCGCATCGTGGATGCCACATTCATCTGATGCTCCACCTTATTGACGTCACCGCAATGAAACATTGATATCTGCTATCGCCGTTTCGCTGTCAAGTACAATTAAATTCTTCTTTATTCGAGAAAAAGATAACGTGATTAAGAGTGAGTGGACAGATATCRTGCATATTGTTTCTGAACGATTCTAAACCAAGGGCGATCATTTTCTTATTTTCATCGTGATAGGTCAATTTGTAATCGAGAAATAATTAAACGCGCAGAAAAAGAAGGCATGTTAGRCTTAAATGTATTCCAAGGGATTTATTGAGAACCACCATATTTGCAGAAAATAAAGTAGATGCTTAAATATAGGTTCTACAAAGACTGACCGCAAATTAATGATAATTGAAAGGATGTTGTCAACATAGCTGCGAGAGTTTATATTCATATATGCCATCAAAACACTCAGGAACGGCGACTGGCGATCTTTCAACGCTCGATTCTTTTTCTCCTTCAWTTCACGAAAAGAAAGCTAATTCATCAAAATGTCTGAAATTCTCAATTCGGAATTGCATCGCGAGACAATACGATTGCATTTGAATCGATCRATTGACAAACTTCACGAGGAGCCAAATTGTGAGTTCTGGGGAGAAGGCATAAACCGAGGGGTCATCAAACGTGGAAGTGTTGCACAGTTTTTCGTGAAAAGCAAAACTCCCGACCTTCTGYTGCTTGGTATTGATGTTATGGATCCTGACCGTGAAACAGTCGACTTRGGATTCCATTGCCTAGAAGAAAACATGCATTTGGTATCGTTCAACGTCGACAAGGCGGGAAACTATGTCGTCGACGTCAAATGGGAAGGAAAACCTCTTATTGGAAGCCCTTTYAATGTGATTGCGAGCGAGGATGGAAAAGAATAGTATAACATCTTCATGGACAGCAAACTTGGTGATTATTTAACACTTRAAAYAACAGCATCATCAAATATAAAGCGTGAACAACTCAAATAGAAAAGCAAGTTTTTGTCACCGAGCGGATATCCATAAGTCAATATTGCTAGGTTTTCCGTGTTAATTGCTCTTTTGTTTTTGCGTTTGATGTTGACGGGATTTTTATGCTTTAGCCGGCGCAATGTATAACATCCAGAAACTGAGTAAGTTATATATAATGTAGGGTTGAAACACATACTAAATACTATTTGAGGGTCGCACAGCTAGTTAATACCTAAAACTGCACTCACTGTCTAGTTGGTGTCAAAAACTGTCAGAARCTCGAGYTCATAATGTGTCATGCAGGTACTGACATTCGAAATAATAGTTTACAGTCATGGTTAGTATTTTCCTGCTTTTAAAGGAATAAAATACATTAAACGAATTTACGTGTCTTTTTAAGACCGTCGATCGACGAGCACTAAAAAAAGAAAAAGAAAAGAAAAAAGAAAGAAATTCACTGAAAATAAAACTTGGAAATAGGAAAAACCTGCATGGTTCGGCACCCAAGAAATAACCCTGAAATAAGCAATGAAATACCATGTAAGGCCAACAAGGTCTACCAGCATTCAATGAAAAATGTGGTGACTTCAAATATGATCCATTCCAATTCGTTTCCATTATATCCTTTGGTTACGTTTTAAAAGCGAATTTTATTAGTATTTCCATTGATCGTTGATAGTGCATAATGGACAATTAAGATAAGCTCTTGCTTATATTACGCCATATTTATATTTGAAAAAGACTAGCTCGAAAGAGTTTCTRGTAGACCATGGCCCTTGAGCGACTGATTTTGTTTTGCTTTATCGCCATTTTCGACCTCCGTACACTTCAAGATCGACAAAGGGTGGTTATTATTTTTGCACGGAATCCAGTTTTTTTGTTTTCCGGGGAAGAGGGGTTGACAATCACTAGAAGGRGGATAGTCAAAACTTACGACTTGAAAAAGGGAGAGTAAATCAATCAAGAAGATAGGAAAGGCAAATATGACTATAAGGAGCATCAAAATTTAAACTTGGAAAAGAACAAGGGATATAATAAATAAATAAAACGCATATCGCGCGATAAGGTTTTTTAGGATAAAGCTATAGCTCATGCTAAAAAAAAAAAAAAAAACAGAGCAAACCTATCAGTACAATTCAATAGAGCGCCATCACCAGATGAGGTTCAGAAGTTTAAGGTGTCATAATCAGTGTTGCAGATCAAGCAAGAGTATATGGCAAGGCGTTTCCCTCAGCCGACTAGTACTTCTTAGGAAGCTTGCACTAACCACAGGCGTCCTAACAGCCCCTCCTTTGATTAGTGCAATTGCTAATGAGTACTAGTCAAAAGATAAAACATAATGGCTCTCCCCATAAAATGTTAAAACTGATAGCTATTATCCCGTGATTTCGAAAGTATGGTCACTTATTCTATTCACAAGGGTTTGTATGCGGTCTTCCAACCCGTAAAAGGCTATATATCTATAGGACACAGAAACTCAGCAAGAATGTATTGCACATCACATGCCCTTTCAAAATATGGAAGTGGCTCAGAAAAAGTTCGAAATGTATGTTTCGTGAATAAGTGCTCTTTTGTTACAGCTAGTAATCAGATGTCGTTACCAGTGTAGGCGCTCTAAGAGCGTATAAATAGTTTAATAAGTGCAAATGAATTGCAGAAGAGGCTCCGCAGAAACAATGATTATTTTAGTCGATTCCTTTATTTCCGGCCCGGAGCCTCGTCTAAAATACTTCTGTGCATGGTCACTGAACCAAATTATCTCAATCCAACTTTCGTATGTGGGGAAGTTGCAATTGCCGCAGAACAATAGAAGGTTGCCTGCTTTTTGCGCGCATTGTTACTTAAATTCTTCGTTTGCAGGTTACGTCACAGCGGCCATCTTGGAGGAACTTCGACAAAGGATTTCTCATTAGTATCCATTGTTCATTCCTCCAACATCGCCGCCGGTCTTTTATCTTTTGAATCTCATGAGTGGGAATGGTTGAAAACGATCAATATTGCCCAAAAATATTATTAGCCAATTTGTTTCTCTCATTTTGAGTACAGAGGTTTATAGGAATGCAAAACCGCTATTTCTGTTCATGTCTACAGTCCCAAACCTCTTGCAAAACTCTAACAATAAGAAGTTTAGGGCCGTTTAGGAATTAAAGTGCAAAGTCAGCCACTGATTTCATAGCGAATGCAATCTAATGTCATAAATTTTGCCCAATTTCGACCTGCCTCTTGTCACTTCCACTTTTTACTCAAGTAATGACAAACTTCCTGACACTCTTAAAATAACGGTCTCTGGAGATTGTTTTTGATCTGGAGTAATCAGCAAGAAGACTTTGCAAGACTGTGTGCAATTTGAAGTCCAAATGATACAAATTGATACACATTTGTTTAAATGTGTAAAGTGTATCTACAACTACAGTATTATTATTTCATATTTTCACACAATTTTATAAACATTGTTCAAAAAAAAAAAGAAAAACGTTTGCAATTCCAAAATTAAGTTATTGTAAACGATTTTGTAAAACTGTGCTCAATAATATCCAAGCTTCAAATCTACAGACCTACAGAGACAGTTATGTAAAAAGATAAATTTAACACCGTAAAAAAGTATGTGGAAAAACTTACTGACGTTTCGGATGTTAATCCTCCGTCAATTTATCTTTTTACATAACTGTTTCTTTAGAAACACCGACGCAGCTCACACTAGTTTACCGCTAGTTCCCACCAGACCTACAGAGAAATGTTTTTCTTTCTTATACCAAGGTTACCTAMCAGGGATAACCATGGCAACTATGCAAAATCATTTACAAAATCGATCATTGACAGTATAACAGAAAATAATCAAAAACAAATTCATTTATTGATTCACCAAATAGACAAAGTCAAACTTCATTTGCTATGAATACGAGATACTATTATTGACAGACTGCATGGGTTAAAAATTCTCTAAACTAGTTAATACAATAACCATTGAAATTGGTAATTTGTTTATTTGTTAAGCATTTACTGCATTCATCACAAAAATGGACTTCACATAGAAACGTTCCCCACATAACAATGTGCCTAGGAAACAAATCAGCACATGATCACACATTCCTACAAGAAACATTCTACAGAGCAAACAGGATTAAAAATGCCATCATAAGACAGAAAAGACCCATGGCCTCTGATAAGGCAAAACCTAGAATGGCATAGGARAATAGCTGTTGCTTCAAGGATGGATTCCTGGCATATCCAATAATAAGGCTTCCGAACACTGTTCCAATACCAGCTCCACTRCCTGGAAAAGAAAACAATCACMATGTCATATCAACCACATTGATCTACTATATTTCCTTTTTACACGGAATATGTTCAGGATAAATATGAAAGTGTGATGTTCTAATGAAATGCCATGTCAGCAACTGATACATGAACAAAGGCAAAACAAAAACCATCAACAAACAAAATAATCACAAACAAAAAACTGAGAGTTTTCTTCAAGACAAAGTGACAAGTTGGTTTTGATTGACAYATTGTTGTGAACGTTTGCCTTTTAGCACAATTCTTTTATCCTGTTAACCTTCGATTAAAGGTTTTAGAAAAWTTGCACTTTTAATAGTTTTATATSACATGATATCTTTTGATTTTGKAATCGACTTTTGGAATGGTTTTATTTCTGTCAAACTCCCACCAYCTTTGATGGTGTTGGCTGCGCTTGCRACTATAACTTGGTGTGATACAACTCAACTAAAGTTCTTTTCAATACTCCTAAGTATTTTTCATTAAAGCATTTTAATGTTCACTTAAGCACATTAAGTGTCAACTTACCAGCAACACCAACAGTTGCAGCTCCAGCACCAATGAACTTGGCAGCAGAGTCAACATCTTGTACTGCTGAGCTTGTTTGGAATCCACGGCTTACCATTGTTGCTAACGATGTCTACAATAATACCCAACCATGAGGTTTATAAACAATAAAAGACAAAAGTAACAGTCATAATTACCTTGTTTTGGAGTAAATTATCATTTTGTGAACCTGTAAAAATACAAAAGTTTTTAAAATTTATGGTGTGTGCATGGATTATCTATCTAAAAGTAACATAAAAGCTAGACAATCACAAGAACAGGTCAAATTGAAGATTGCAAAATTTACATAGAATAAGATGTGTTTCACAAGGTTTATGATGTTTGCAGGCATTGTTTCTGCCCATATCTTCTGCATTGCATAATCTTCTCCACAGGAAGACCAATATTGTTTTTAGTTCGTAACATGTATCATTATTACCTGTTGCTGGACTCGTTGCGGYTCTTGCTAGACAGAACAAGTTTCTAGAATTCAAAATGCAACATTTAAGTAAACGCTACACAATAAAATTAACAAAAAATTATTTTCTTTTGAATAATTATTTTTGCCATACAAACTACTTCATACTTACCTAGCCTGGGGACCACTCTGAAATTAATAAAAAAAGAAAATGAATTAGTTACTCTGTAATAGACTTCTTCATGGTTCCCTGCGCCACCTTGAAAGGTAGCTGTGCCTTTGCATTGAAGCGAGAATCACCATTGAGCGTGCAATGATAGAAACATTTTCAAAACCTACAGACAATTATGSACAAGTTTCTATCATTACAGGTTTAACGGTTGTCTTGCTTCAATGTAAAGGCAMAGCTACTTTTTAAGATGACGAAGGAATCCACTAGCTTGTGTTGTTTAAAGTTTATAAACCACGTCTTAATGTTAAAATCAGCAAATAAAGTAGCTGCGAACCTTAATCTCTGCTCCCARAATGCAACTAGATTTCAAGATCGATACACAACAGCTTATCACACTTCTCATTTTGCAGTCAATTGTTTCAGAAATCAAGAAAAGTGAAAAGAAACTGTGAAAAATGGCACCACCCCCTTATTAAGAAAAACCAACCTTAGTTACATCCATTATTTAATGAAAAACTTTAATGGCTTTTAAGTTCATGATTTATATTTGATCGATTTTAAACCATGATGAAATATAAATATAAATTTGCAAGGCATATTTGAAGATGTGAAATGACGTATTTAGCATTCTATTTTATTTTTAAGTAAATATACGAATTAATTGAGCAAAGAAATAAGTAGAGATACACTGATTTGTGTAATTCAATAAATTGTGGAGGGTGATTACGTGGAGTTGCCYCTTYGAACTGCAACAAAGCAAATTGTACAAGACCAAACAGAACTTTAGAAATGTACGCAATTTAWTGAAAAMCAATAAAAATAAAATGTATATTAATCGYGATATCATCTAGAGAACTCATTACGTAACGAATATTGGAGCTGATAAAAACTGGAGAGAAATACCGGCTTTTACCCTAGGCAAGTGTCGACACGTGCAACGTCTTCAAAATTAGAAAGAAATGCACTTAAGTTGGATTCAAAAACAAAATATTGTGCAAAATGTTCATAGTTTTAAWACTGAATTATAAACAARCAGTAACGAAGTATGCATAGACGAGTAAATCATAAAATACCTTGACCAAAGCCTGTGACTGGGGACGAGTGGCGGCATTCACCAACGTGCGCCCACTGCCGGCCTAGCAAAAAGTTCATAAAAATCTGTTAAMAATGAACAAAAACTGACTAATCAGCTTTGACAGTTCACTTACTAAAATTCTAGTAGCAGAGGAAGTAAATTTACTGCAGGTAAACATGTTAAATTTGCAGATTTCAAGTCAACAGACTAAAACTCCTCGTGATCTTTTCCAAGATGGACGGCGAGGGAAGGTTCACCGGCTTGCAAGAATTCTGGGTAACATGAACGTGGAATCATGGGAAATATAGCCTCGTTTTCATTAACCTAACCGGAAACTTGCTGAACTGCAGGCCGGAAGTGGAATTTTCTTCCATTTGTTCGATGGAATGGCCATTATCAATTACTAATTTATGTGAACAATTATAGATATCGAAAAAAGCACAACACATACTGATTATATAGAGGATTTTACATGGATGCGCGGAGATACGGGTTTTATCTTCGAGTGTTGAAAAGATTGAATTTCTGAGCGAAGCTTTTAACAAGAAGATAAAATTCAATTTTATCTCCAAGCGACAATGTAGCACTCTATTTATCACATAATTGTATATGAAAGTAAATATGTCGTAAAATATATCTTTTTTTAATATCCAGTATGTAGAGAAACTTTTGAATGCGAGTTTATTTTTTCACTATTGAAATGAGTTAATTTACTATTGGGCTTTCGACCTTCGGTCTAAGGTCTTCAGTCTTCTAAAAGAAGACCTTAAACTAAAGACCTTAAACTGACGGTTCAAAGCAGTAATAAAAACTCACAAAGTCAGAGAGCAATATCAATATAAACAAAGAAAAATTTTGGTCAATACCATTTAATGCATATCAATAACTCCTGAAACAACAACTTATGATAACGGAGACGAGCTAGAATGTCGACGAAGTCTTGTGACTGAATTAATCACAGCGCCTCGACGACTAAACCGACCGCGCGATTTCAGTTGTGAGAGAACCAAAAAAAGACTTTTTTTAATACTTTCGATTAACTGATGCTCTCGGTCAAATTGTATAGTTACTAACTATGGTTGTGATAAAATGTAATAAATAATTTTGATGCAGTTCTTGTAAAATAGGAAATAACCTGAATTTTGTTTCTATACTCAATATGATTGACCTGGACGGGTGGTCGGCCGTCTTTTAAAAAGTGATTATAAAGTTTACACAAAAACCAGCTGGAATCACATAAAATATTAAATAATTTACTCTTAGGTAACTAGAGTTTACTGTTATACGATACTAACTAAAGTTCATCCTTATTTAKTTGATCAGCTGCTTCTATGTGTGAATCTTCTTCTTTTAGCTTATTTGTCTCTTCTTCGCGTTGTCCACTATCTCCGTTGCTCTYAAACACTTCATTAGAATCAYTCCCAGTGTGTTTTTGAATGGTTTTATTCTTATTCTCTATTTCCATAGCATCCCTTGCAAAGCCTATATCGAGATCAAGACCATCAAACACCTCCTTTCCATAGACATTTTTTAACCCTTCAAGATAACTGACGTATTTCTCTTCGGGAACCAAGTTATCAATGACGTCAGCTATCACCATTTCTTTTTCGGACGCYAAACTTTTGTCTGTCATTGCGTCATCAAAGTGTGATGTTAAGGAAACCAAGGCTCTGTCCCAAGGCATTGGATCCCAATCGAGAAGCATYTTYRCACGGTTAATATCCAAAGGTCCTTTGGTGACTGTTGGGTATGTGTACCACGCTTGTTCTTCATTAGTGAGAAAAKTTATKTTATCGATTCCCAGCTGTCTCCCGATCTCAGAYAAAAGAGACTTCAAATTGAAGTGTTTATCAAAAGCTACGTTAAGTGCTTGGTCGTAGGCCTTGTGGCCAACCTCTAAAACACGCAACACGACTTTTGCAACATCTTCGACGTGCACTAGACTGAATTTGGTGTCTGACACACCCAGTGGAAGGGGCACCTTTTCGTCAATAGTATCGTGAGTCTTGATCCAAAGCTGATACGTCCAGAATCGAAAAGAACCATCTCGTGGTCCAATGACATCTGGTAATCTTAGAGCAACGAATGGAAATCCTCCAGCTTTTCTTTGTTTTCTGAGAACTTCTTCACAAGCCAGTTTTTCGTGGCCATATGTTTCCGTTTTCCGGAATTGCATACGCTTTTTGGAACTTTTAGGTCTAACCGCATCTTCCTCCTTGGTTGGAGCAACGTGGTCTTTTTGACACACTTCATAAATTGAATCAGAGCTGATGAAGATATAAAGCCCTACTCGATTCTTYAAAATGTCGACAACTTGCTGGATCTGCTTAGCAGTATAAGAGCTCAAGTCAACGACGAGGTCATAGTAWCCYGATGTTAGTATATCAGGGCATTCCAGTTTGAAGGCTTTGTCTCTATCGCATATTATATGTTTATGGACGTAGGGTGCAATGCGTTCCTTGGAATCGAAATACCAATTACCGCGATTGACCAAGGTGATTTGATAWAGGTCTTTTTCAATCAAGCTGCTTACGATTTCGCTGCCTATAAAACCATTTCCACCAAACACGAGAACACGCTGTTGTTCATTGGATGGTGCGTTGAGAAAGAGATTGTCTGCGCAAATCGAGCGCAAGAAAGCTGCCACAAAAAGAAAGAGAACAGCCATGGTTTCTATACGCATTACCGATTGAGCCKACGATACATATACGACGCTGATAAATTGATTTTTTTTCAGTTGTGTTAGCTCAGCTTTGAGTATACGGTAATAGTAATTAGCCTATGAGTTATTAACACGCATATTACGTATGATACATTAAAAAATACTTTACCAGCCCCTCCCCTTCAAATGGAATTTTTTAACCGAGAATGTATATTATTTGACTAAATTATATTTAGTTTTTATTAGGATTAAACGCTTCCGTGAGTTTAGGCTTTTGTTTCACACTGATAAGGCGTGTCGACTGTCTGATCCTTTGAATGAAATTTCACTTTTTATCACAAAAAATAGATTAAAGTTTGAAATAATTTCTTTGGGTACAGTTAGCCATTAAACTTCTTGTATTAAGACGCTGCAGTCCTAATGTCCTGGAGGGACTGAATAGCTAGAAACTCCATCGACTGTAAACGCTATAATTGACCACGTGTAAAGCGACCATTATTCGTCTTTTATCCTTTACACAAAAGGCACTTATGTTTGTAGTAACCTGTGGACACTAACGACGCTAAAATACAGACCACAAARCTGTTATTCTTGTAAATTATTGCCCAGCAAATGTCATCAACCGAAATTTTGTTCAAGAAATTGGCATGAGTTAYGTTCAGGGATACAAGCTGATGCTCAGAGATTTACTTTATCTTCGAGTTTTAATAAATATTGCATAACCATGATACCAATCTTGTTAACAATGGAATTCAATCACCGACTGTGAARTTGAGGTTCCTTGGCATCATATCTAAATGAAGCCTTTGTTGCTAGCAAAGCTTCATCAAAAAGAACGAGGAATCTTGATTGAAGCTGATTGAACTCAATTATCAAAGAAAAATTCACTTAAAACAATCAGTTAGTTTAGTCAGTTTAGTCAGTTGAATTTATCAAACATACGGAAAATATTCAAATGTAATCCGAATCAAAACCTTAGCATGGCGTCTTGAATGAATCCTTTAAAACCACACTCACACAGGTTATATAAATCAATGTATTTAACAAAATGCTGCTTATATTTTACATGGAAAACCCTACAAACTTTATGACACTGTGTATGTACAGCAGTAGTGTCTATGTACAATATGACTGCATGTATGAATAGTAAATTACTTAATGGACTATCACATTACATAACCAATTGATCCACCAATACGAGACCACTGTAAAAACTACAAGGCCTTAAGAGTTGAATGTTGTGGTCGATGAAAAACACTGTTTTTTTACTGGTATAATACAAAACTTGAACTTCGTCGGCAATAGGCAACCCTTCACACAAGTGAACAGTGTAATCATGGAACCGGAAAACCAACAATTTCCTTTACATAATGCTTAAATTTCGCATTTCTATTTTTTGTTCTTTTTATCRTTATCTGTATATAATTTTTTGTATGCTTTTCCTTGTAATGTTATCTCTTTGCTAATTTAAGTACGATTCCTTTTCTTGGTTGATCTCCATTGGGTGAGTCCGTATCATTCGTTACGAGCTTCACTGTCCATTCATTTTTTTCACTATCAATCTTATCATTCATATCAACGTCGCTTGCTGGACTCGCAAGTGGTGAACACATTGGACTGGACGACGGCGACAGCAACGCTGGAGAGGCAGGTGTAGATGGTACAGGTGTTGGTAAAGGAGTGGGAAGCTTTAGGGAAGCCTCGTCGGTTTCTGACAAAGGGAAACTTCTTTGGGGAAAAGGTGTTACAGTTGGCCAAGATTCTCCTTCGACCTTAACTAAACTGTCGGTTGATGAGGATCTTCGATGAGCCAGTTTATATTCCAGTGAATATGATCGCGGTAGTAATGGAGTTCCTGCTGTTGGTGTGATTGAACCCGACATGCCACTACCAGTAGGTGAATGAGTCATGGCGGGAGTGCCTGGAGGAGTGTTCAGAGGATCATCGGGATTTCCAATTTCACTACTCTGTCGTTGTGTACGCTTTCGTTTTTTCGTGAGAAAACCAAGGAATCTTTTACGTTCGTGTTCCTCGCAGATTTCGTGTCGTTCAACGAAAATATCGTCGTCCAGAATTTCTGTTTCAACCTATGGGAGAAAAAAAAAATATATTAGATATGTCGAAAATTTGTCAATATTATCTATATATCTCTGGTGGTTTTCTATATATCTCTGGTGGTTTGAATAAATTACGACCAACAATTTCAAAACCTTTTTATTTTTCCTTTTAATAACACTTTTTCAGTATCAACACGWATTGGGAACTCATTCGAGTCAACCAACTCTGTTAAGCTGGATACTTTCTATTTTGTGTGTATCTCTAATAATGTGAGAACTAGAGAGACACTCACAGAACCAGGTTAGCTCAGTTAATATTAACGCCCTTAGGGGCCCGTTTAAGACAAAATACCTCTTGATAATAGGGATAACTAGATTGTTTTCGTTTCACTACCCAGGGGCCACCTATTTCATGAGAAACTCGCTTGGCCTTGCTAAAATTAACCGTCTTTCAATTATAATTCACCAACTAGAATTACAGCTAACTTGCATCTGAAAAACCTTGAGAATCTTTTGTTCTATATCAACAAGGATTTGCTGGTAAAAGTTAAGATGGTAATAATCCCGCAATAAGATGACCGCATGTCTATAAATGGACAATGCTCATGTACATTGCCCTTTTATTTTACCTTTTCATTTTCTTGGGTTTTGTCAGATAATTTGGATGGCGATTCAACTTCAAGAACCCTCCAGCTGGGAGTCAAAATTTCCTTATACTGCAGTTTTTCCACTCTAGTCGAGGATGCCATTGAGTAAGGKATGACAATATTATTGATATCAAATGCATTACTCGTTCTTTTTTTGCGAAGTAAAAGACCCAGTGTTGTTGGTGGCATGGAGTTTGACAATGGGGTTGGACTTGGGGACGATGTGGGTGTYGATGACGATGAGCCAGTTGTTGGTAAAGACAGACTTCTTGCTCGCTTTTGAAGTTGGGCATCTACAAGGAACAAAAATATTACAATCTTATTTATCTCACCAATGCATGTGTAACATACATTTAGTGACTGATAAAGATGAAGAGATTGTTTTTAATTTTTACAATAGAGAGATATGCATTGGACAAGACAACAAAATCCACAACATCCACATCATTAGATATTTCTTCAAAAAATTACAATTCTGCAGTGAAAGAATTTTCTGTTCAGACCCTCAACAACATCAACTAAGTCTCCMCRACTATTAAGTGTGTTCCTCCTGTGATTCACCTTTTCTCAATTTTACACAAACATTTATTCTTTCCATCCCACATGGATGTGAAGAAAAAAAAAATACGGAGTGAATTTCGTTTGACTTTTGCTTAAACTAAAATATCTAATTTTTCCTCTGTTTAACACGCAGGTCATAAAGGAATAAAAGATAAAAACAAACAAACAAATAATTACAAAGGAGACAAGTCCAGCTCTTACATTCACATCCAGTAGACTTGTAAGCTACTGTACCTGCACTGATAGCAGCAGCACGTCTCTTGCGAGGAAGTTCAGAGTAACATGCACGTTCTTGRTCTGCTTTWGRGTTCTTTGGTGTAGTTGGAAGGCTGCCATAACGCTTGCGCTCGTATCGTTGATTGCGGTATTCTATAGAAAATAACATTCATGACAATTCAACAACTTTGAGCAATAAGAATTTCATAATTATAATCTTTTCCAGGYATTGCTTGGACATAATTTCTGACTACATTAGAAACTTCCACATTATGGATTCTTTACACACTGAAACAAGAGTATATAACCTATTACAGTATAACTTACTGGCTGATGAAAGAAGGGATGCTGCAGCTCCCTTTGCCAATTGTGAGCGTCTGTTGCTTTGCTTTGAGTTTATTTGCTTTTTACTGTGGAAGGGAGTTAGAATTAGTCAAGAATCATTATTAATACTGAAAAATGAGCAATTTTTCATAAAAAAAAAAACACAAAGCTTCCTACAATTATGTTGTATTAGTAAACTGCAGASAGCTTCCAAAGTCTATAGTGTAGCAAGTAAAAATGACTATATAATATGACAATGTACAAATCAGATATTCTCTTTTRAAACTTAAGGCAACAAATTATGAAAATACTCAACAAAAAGACCTAATTAGAAATACAATCAACCTGACAGTAGCCTAGTTGCTATTAGTGCCACAATTATTTCAAATTTTGCTGCTACAGTACTATCCTAACCTTAAGAAAAGGTGCTGGGTTCAATAGCATAAATATAACATTAAAAAGGCTTACTCATATTCATAACCTATCCACAAGATGCTAGCTATATAAATACAAACACTTCATTCAAATTCAGAAAGTGGAAAATAAAACATATGAAATAACAAWTTTTTTGTCAAACATAAAATGCTAAGGATTTTTCTTAAAAATAATTTATATTTTTACAACTTCATATTTTGTTGTTGTTCAGATTAATAAATTATACAAAGCTTGAAATTGTTAAAACAGATGACATCATCAGTAAAATATGTGCAATGTCACTGCATTTGAAATTCAAGACCATTACCATGGTTACAGCAGCTGGTCATAATTTATCCATACAAAGACCAACTAAAGGCCATGGACAATGAGTGCCTTTCAATAGAAATGTCATTATAAAGCTATTTTCCAAAGCAATAATTGCTCATATCATAATACTTTATCTTTTAAAAACAAATTTGCATACATTATACATTCGCTTCCTGCAAATTTTTCTTTCATTAAGATAGAAGTGGCATAAATCTTCCAAAACAATAATGCAAATTTAGCAGATACGTGCAATATAATAACACAACAAAATTCTATACCACATAATAAGTAAAAAAAATTATCATATCTTGAATTGAGATCAAGAAATGAAATAAAAATAAGTTAAATGGATAAATAAATGAAATAAAACTGTTTTAAGAGCTCCCTAGGATCAATTGTGCRGGATATTTTTCCAAACCACTGCATGATCATAGCAATTTGTTCTTAATTAGGTCATGTATTGTAAAGTATCAGTACTTCCTTCAAACCCTCTCAAAAAACAGCCTATATGAACAAATGACTGCTTCTTGAAAATGAACAGGTAAGCTAATAATTAGAATAATCAGAAGTAATACTGAAAGTGATAAAAAGGATTTTTTTACACTACTACACTACTTAATTACAGCATGTTTGGCAAAAAAAAAAGAGAACAGAATGTGATGATTCCCATACTGCAACTGTGACTCACTTTCTTTCAGARTGCGAAGATGAAGTCTTAAGAGGCTGTGGTTTTGTCCTTGATTCAAAGCCACCCTTCTTCAAGATAGATGCAAAGTGGAATTGCAAGGGTATTTCTAGAAAAATAGATTAAAAATGTAACTTTTTTTCCACATCACAAGCATTGTTGACCAAAAGCATTTTCAAATAAGTAACTACATGTCTTGGGCATGAATAGTCAAGTTCTTCCAAAACAGAAATTTTATCAGTAATTTACCTGTTGAAAAGGATAATACTGGGTGATATGACTGGTCAAGCATTYTGACACGGTCTGCAATCGGAAGCATAGGGTCAACCGCAATGATTGTCTTTGCTGYCTTGCAACATGAAATACAGGAAGTTTCTGGTTTAGAGCATTGRCAGGTAGAACCATCAAATTTGCCATTTTGTTTAAGACATGACAGACGGACCAAATGACGATTACGTATAGGATAAATCCCACTAGTTCTAGCGCACTGTAGTGATAAATCAACTCCAAGGGATGAAACAGGTAATTTAGTGTCRGACATTCGTAGCTTTTTAGAAGGTGTTTCTTGATCTTCATTCATGCTRTTCTTCAATAAGGATTTCTTGATTCCATTACGGAGGTGGTTTTGRGGTTCTTTGAAGACATTCAGCTTTAGTTCRGAAGACTCTGACAGAGTTGATAAATGTTTTTTAGCTGCAAGACTATTCACTGGAGTTTGCAAGCTGTCCTCTACATCTTGATCAAGAGAATTAGCTTGCAACTTTACTTGCTGCTTAGAGACTCGAACGTTTTTGTGAACATCCTCATAACGCCTAATTTGTCTTTCCAGATTGATAATTTGAGACTGTAACCAAGACCATCGTGAAGATATCTCTCCTACTTCCAGTTGAAAAGCTTTTCTTAAAGAGTTAGACCTAAAAACAAAACAAAAAAACAACACAACTTTAATTCTGTCATTACTCACACAAAAAAGGCTCACAGTGATATCATTATTCTTTTGCAAACTTTATTCTTGCCATATTCATTATATACAGGCTCACAGTTTCCTGAATACATCATTTCCAATGGAAGACGAAAAATTATCCAAATTCAAATTKGCTACATTATCCTTCTGCAAATTTCCCTCATTGCTCAAATATTTAGTTTACATGGAAGTACTAGGAATGTCATTAATGCCAGATAAAAATATATGCAGATTTCTATTTTTTATAACACAGCAGGGCATAATTTATTCATAGAAGTCTTTTAGAAACTACTGAATTGAACTCTTCACAAACAGATACTTATTTCTCAAAGGTTTGAAATAAGACTTTTAGAAGTGGTGAGTGTATACCTTTRTAGGTATATGAAAAAAGCTTATTGTCTTGTTTCTCTTGGATGAGCATGAATGATTAAACTGTTTGTTACATAAAATTTTATTCCATGGCAAAAAAAATAGTTGTGCGGTAAATATGACCCATAATGAAAAATAATTATGGGATTGTATTGCATCTATGGAAAAATGAAACAATGAGAAAGAGCAAAAAAGGATGAGACTTTACTGTAAGAGATTTACTCATTCATATGGAATACRAGCTTAAAAGATTTGGAAAATAATTCAACCCAATCTCCCAATATTGGGAGATTGGGAGCAATTTCATCTATTTGAAATTTTTAAGGAAATGACAACATSTTAAGAGGAATACCAGGCATTTCATATAGCTCTCTCAACTACAATCTCATTGTTTTGTTGCGTGGGAAATTTAAAATGTCTCCTATGCATGATAATAACGACAAATACAGCATCAAGATTGAACAAAATCTTTCAAAAATTTCTTTATTTGATATGGTATAAATTCTACACCAGAAAACTATGAAGAACACAAGTACATGAAATCGAAACCAAAGGTTTGATCATTCTTGATACCGGATAAATATTCGTGTAAAAACTCGACGGTCCCTTCAGCGGGATCACATTTCTTATCATCTCACTATCCCGAAAATTCATTAAGAAATTGTCATAATTATCCATACACTTTTACTATTTGAGCTATTTTCTTAATATGTTGTACTTACACACTGCATCTTTGATCATCTTCTTCACATTCGTCTCCGGAGCTCGCTTCGGTCGCATCTGAATCATACATCAGTTCCAAATGCTCTACATGCGCTGTTAAACCCTCAACAAGACTCTCGGTTTCAAATTTTTGYCGTTCATCACTTAAAGCATTCTTTATGGCCTTGTTAACACTCTCTGGAGAATATTTGACTGCATTTTCGAAGTGGCTTTCCGAAGGATTAGTGTTCGATGGAGCGTTCCTTGTGTCCTTCGCTTGAAATGCAATTACACCATTGTCGATTTCATGTGATGTCGCACACGCGCTCGACAAAATCCTCTCCTTCTCCGATTTCAAGGATTCCTTTTTCGTTAAAATATTACCCAAAGAATTTTCTTCAATCTTGGTAGAATCTAAGTCATTCTTTCCTTTTAGATGATCAASRATCCCGTTCAATTGTCGGTGCACATGGGTTTCAATTTGCCGCGTTTGCAGTCTACGGAGGCGTTTCTCTAGCTTTCTCGCACGGCTTTCGAGGCGAGCTTGGTTTCGAACTGATCTTGCTGTCCTTTCTGGTATAAAAGACTTACAAGAGTTCAATGTTGCCACAGGATGTTTTGTAGAACGAGTATTTTTCTCGTTGTCGCATTCGATATTACAAGCACCAGTCGGTGTTGTTAGCGTAGTAGCAGTACTGGAAGCACATGCTCGTTGAGAGAGAATGGCGGGCTTTCGGTTTTCACCGTCACTCGAAATATTCGTTGATTTGGATATGGCCACATCGTTTTCTTTGAATCCAAGTAGATGTCCGTTAGGCATATCCATTGAATTAAAATCTTCTTCGCTGCGTATTGAACTTTTGGGCGGGGAAGACAGGCACGAAGACTGCTCTCCAGTTGTATTTGTGATGTTATTACTACTATCAGAATCGTCGAGCAATCGAACGAGCCCGTTTCGCGAAAGCAGCGTTAAATCTACTCCTTTACTTATGGTGTTTTGTTTTAAATCCTCAGGTACCGTCGAAGAACAGTACCGATCCACAGAATTCTTTCTCGGCGACCCGGGAGATGCGTTTGCTTCGGTAAGCGCTGGAGCCATTTGCGCCATCGACCAGTGTCTCCTTCACAATGAACACGAGTGGCGAAAATACGTCCCCTGTAAACGCATTTTCCATGCAAGTGACAGCTTAAAAAATCACCAACGGCTGCCTAAATCAATGTTCTTTATCACAAAATAGTTAGTTTCTGAAGTTCAGTAACTCGAGGGGAGGAAACGTTTTTTTCCCGATGTGAAAAGCACGTGACCGCCACGTCTCGACAGAACGTGTTCTAATCCCTCGTTTTAGAACAACCAGGACGCTTGATATATGCAAAACTACCAATTTTCACGAGTCGATTTTCAGCCTTTAAAAGAGTAAGAACGGGCAACCAATCCTTGAAATCTTGAGATGGATACCTATTGTAGCTTTTGGCTATATTTGTGTGAGATTCCAAAAGACGTCAACTCTCCTACAAGCGAAAATCTGAACCCTTTGAACAAGTCCAAAATGGCGGCATAAGATTCAGAGTTCTTGTACAACCAGCCCCGCGTGCGTCCATGTTCCTTGACCAATTGCATCAATACGGCCTACCCCCCTCTTAGCGCTCCACGTTGATTGGTCCATTTAACAGGAAGCGCATCAGCTGACGGAAAAAGACCGGGAGAATCGATATTTTGATCAGCAGGATAAAGTCCGTATTTACAATCCATCCTACACACGCCTCCAAAAGGATTCAATTGAGTTATAGAGCTGGAAATTCGTTTCTGAAATTCAAAAATATTTCAATATTAGAAAAAATAAACGCTGAACCCAGCAAGAATGATAAAACAAGAAGATAATAAAATACAAATATACTATTTTTAGAATTGATATTACATCATAACCATGCATATGTATTTTTTGAAATAATTTAATTTTTAAATACATGAAGATTTTTCTCCCACACATGTGTTCTAATCAACAAATCGATTATGCAATTCTAAAACAGATAATTTTAAAATCTTTCACATAAATAGAATAAAGCAATATTTTAATCTATTTCTTCATTTTCCCCGAAAGAAGAATATATGAGAAAACAGATAAATAATCAACCACTGMTTTATGAAAAACTGTGTGGGTAATAATAACTTCAGAAAGGAAAAAATAAGGTAAATATAATTGTTCATTCAGAATTTAATTTCCCGTGTCCCTAAGGCTGTACCATTAAAACTTTTACATTTTGAATTTGCATYAAAACGTTCATAATAATTCTATAGTTTTGATTTTGCTATTCTGAATGCAAACATCTCACTRCCTAAACTGAACGAAAAGGGAATTAAAACAATTCTAAGACAAGGTTGTATGAGCTTGTATACATATAACTTATATTTTCAAATAAATAAACAAGTCATACAAGTTTGCTTCCCTAATAAAACAAGAAATATGTATATATAAACAATTTGAGCACACTTTCAAGCTTTGAAATTGTGGTATACTTTAAGAATCATTTTTTTATTATTATCATTTTCAATTTCTTTATTTTTAAAGTTTTGGTGTTTTGATTTTTTTTTTTTGCCTCAATATCTTCTTCAGTCACATCTGAAATAAATCTCAGTAATCACAGATATATAACATTATAAAAAGTAGAAAACCTAGTTACAAGTTGCGTGGCTTTTTCTTCATTTATTCTATTTATAACATTATAAATATATATAAAAGAAAAATTAAATTTATTTCTGAAAAACAATTGTAATTATTATAGATCACAATGTTTGCTTCTCTTATTTTTCAGTCCTACATCGTATCGATGGGGGAGGGGGATAAGTAGGATTTTGTAACGTCTGATTATCGATTGAGTATTGATTACCAAACTTCTTTTGTTTTTCATTTCACTGAAAAATATYGTAATCACCTATRTGTATCAAAAACGCYACCAGACGCACATTTTAAAGTCATGTTATTTGCGTATATATCAGAGAGATGRATGAATGAATTGAATTGGTAAAAGACACTTTTATACGCTTTAAATAGTTCACTKACAGGTATAAAATTAAAACATCATGACACACATCAACTCCAGGCCAGACCAGTTTATATTGCTTCAATAAATCAATGTTTATCAAAAAAGTTGGCATACCTGATACTATATGACCCCTGCAACACTACGAAGTTCTTGGGCTGCAAGTAAMATGGCGAAAAAGTGCTCCTTCCTGGCCTCAGCCATGCCAAGGGAGGGATGTCCACATCTGAAGAACGYCTTCCATTCTGGAATAATTTGAAGTCGCAGTATTTTGTAAACGATAAAAACATACTAAATTGCAATTCCATTCCGTTTCAAGAATCAAGAATTTGGCGTTTTTAAAATTTGTCACAAAAAGGCCACAAATGAATAAAATTATTATGCTTTTTTCTGGTGACGTCTGAGACAAAATCTGAAGTACCAAAACATGAGAAAAAGGCTTTAGAAGAGCCAACTATGCCGTCGAAAACTTTTTAAAAACATAAAACTCTAGCTCAATGAAACTAGGACAATCTTAAATGATCCTTGAAAAAACTATAAGCGAATCAAAAAATATAAAACTGCATCACAATTTTAACTCCAAAACTGTTTCTCCGAATAATAATTTTCAACTAACTGCGCAGTCGCACTGACGATATTTTTGTTAATGATATACTACCGGAAGTAACATGTTAGGTGTGAAAATCGAACATTTCGTCAATTTTCTGCACAAAAAGAAAGAGCGTAGTCAAATGAAGGAAWTTTTTAATGTAAATATGTGGTTCTCTTTATCGTGTATTGAAATTTTCAAAGCAAAAGGCCGAAAATTGATATGTGAACATTTGTACTTCCTCTCTCCAGTTTCCCTTCGTGTCACAGGAAGCCCACGCTGGTGTAATAAGTTGATTGGGGGAGATTTAATTTAGGTATTGATCTATCCTTTATATTATTTAAATTTGATTGATATATCAAGTTAATTTATTTATTCAAAACAGTCTACAAACAAAAGCTACAGGAACTGTAAGCATGAATTAAAAATTGTTTCCTATAAAATTTATGGAACAATGTGTTGCAGTTCAGAAATATCTAAAACAAGCTCCAAATTRAATTAAGTTGACAACCATTAACAATGCGATATATCTACCATGTATAGATTGTACCTTATACTGAATTGAATGTTTGCTATGATCGACTCTGTCCTGGTACTGCACCTGCACATAATTTGTTTTTAATGCGTGAACATGATTTAAAATATTTTACCCCTCCTTTTGCAAAACGTCAGTTGGGTTATCTCCCCCAATTAAAATATCAGAACAAGGGTGGACTGTATCTTAAGCAACAACTATTGGAAGCCCTATTAATTTATGTATAATGTGCATGATATGAGTTCTAAGGGACCGTTCATTTTTAATTGGGAGAGGGGGGGTCTGGTGGTTTTGAGGGGAGCACGCCAACAAAAATCATATTAGATATGAGGCCATGCAAAATTATTATCCTATGTTACTTGTGTATTCAAGTGGAGGTCTTGTCAATAAGACATGGTCAAGTGGYCATGGGTGGGTTATTTGAAAAAAATGTATCCAACTATAGGGGGACATGTATTTTTCCCCTAAATGTTTATATTTTTCAATTTTTTCTGTGTGAACTAATCCAAAAATCAAATTGTATCTAAATCTCTAAAAATCAGTTTCTTCATAAAAATATGTACCTGCCCCAATTGAAACAGCATTTTCAAAGCATTTAACTTGMATTCTAGATTAATTAAACAGTTCCCGAAACTGTGCAAAGCAGTGAAAAATATGCACACTTTCTAATCTCTATTCCAGGCCGGCTTTCTAATCTTCTATGTTTGAACAAAGGGAACAGGTCCAAGGATCTACAACCATTGACAAAATACATTATGTCATAATCAGTTCAATGCTTTTTGTTCCAACAAGGCCCCTTTCATTTGCAATTAGGCACTCGCAACAGTCTGGGAACAAACAATTATTTTGGTGATTTTATATGTGAAAATGGTTTCTCTACTTACCACATTAATTCTGCCATATTTACCTAATAAGGCGATAAGTGATAAGTTTTTTTTCTTASATGACAACTGAATCAATCTTTGAATGAAGTCAATACCATGAACAAAAAAAGTATCAAACTTGTGTTTTCCATTCACTTACCTTTGTTTTTCAATTCTTAAAATTATCATTCATCAGTTAAGTAATTATCACATTATTATCAGGTATTATCAGTAGGTATCATTTTGTCTGTCATTTGCATATTTATTTGCACCTCATCACTTTTCATTCATTTAATTCCTGCCCAATCATTTTTTCTAATTCACATGTTAATCATTCAACCCTTAATTCTGCCATAATTAATCAATGGCTGAATTTAAACATGGTGTTTTCTTTTTTATTCCCATTTATTTATTTTTTGACCCTAATTTATCATGTCATTGCTTCTCTTTATTCATTATTTCTTTATTCATCCAAATTCAGTCGTTGTCTCATTAACTATGTCTCAATTGATCCACGATTTTACAAAGTTTTTCAAAAATCTACTGCAGGGTATCGCTGAGTTTATGTTTGTTCAGTGGTTTGACAAGGTCAGATTATATCAGATCAGCGGGTTAGTGTCTGCGCACGGCAGGCACGCAAGTATAATCACCGATATCCTGTACTCTTATAAAAAAGCTCCCGAGGTGCCGTTGTTTCGGAGCTACTAACGTTGTCCTATTTGATTCATTTTATTAGTGGCGTAGATTATTACGGATGAGCTTCTATTAATTGTTGCTTCTTTACTACAAAATAGTGTTAATTAAACAATAGAAAACAATAGAATTAGCATAATTTAGCAGTATCTAGTGGTATTATGTTGCACAGTTTTAGTGTTTGTACTCTAGCTTTTTTCTTAGTTAATTTAACTTGCAAATTATTCCCTATTTCACTGCAGTGCTTCCTGATTATCAACATTTTTGGAAACACAGGTGATATAGTTTTCTACTAACCGTCTTTGAAGTTCTGGGATATATAGGCTGAGAGCGTCTTTCAGCTATAATTAGCAACATCCTTCAGGATAAAAAATTCGACTCACATCGACAATGACTCAGTGCTGCGCTGTCGTTTGAAAAGAAATGTGAGTTCCACAAACGCGCCATGGAGTCGTCTTTATATTTTCAGGCTCGTTGTTTTTGTTGGTAATTTATCATTCATTGTCTACTTCAAAATAATCTTCCAATTAAAAAGCTAGTGTTTTCGAAAACACTGCAGCTGATCACCAAAAAAGAAATCCAAGAAACTTGYACCTGCAAATCTGTGTAAGTTGCCTTAAGTTTCTGGTATTTTGGCGTCCTAAAACTGTAAAAGGAAAAGCTAAATTACGAAAGAAAAATACCTGGAATTACATATGAAAGAAGAGAAAAACTGGGACCAGGGTAAAGGTTGTCTCGGGGGAAACGATCAAAATTCTGTCTGTAGCTCTGTTGCTATGGGATAGATAGACAAGACGAAACATGCTCATTTCTTATTTGAACCAACTCTCTAATGTAGTGAAAAGCGCGACAAAATTTAGCCGGGACAAAATTTCTCAATTGGATGCGAGTAGCGGCACACCAATCATAGTTTGACCATTTACCTTGCAGTGCCTGGTATTTTTGAGAATTATCAGTTTTGGTGCATGTCTGTGTCGAAAGATTCTTTGAAGTTTAGGTTTATATTTTATACAGATATGATATGATATTTTGGAACCTCGCGAGTTCGTTTTGGATCGTTTGCATTCTATTTTTGTCTGCCACTGCAGGACCACCGAGTAGATCAGTTGTACCCCTTGCAGCGTGGACCCCCCATGACCACGCCCTGATGCTGATATATGATGGCTGATATGCTATGAAATAGAATATTTGACATTTGGTATTGACAGCATTAACCTATTTCAGTCATTGGATCGATGAATATTCATGATGTTATACTGGATTATCATGATTCATACTGATATTTTTGTGGCTACCTTTAAATAGCAAAACCAAATCTGCGTAATAATTTCTTGAGGAAAAAGAATGGCTGTCACATTACACATAGGGAAATCTGATACTTGCGCGTACTGTATTTATTTATGACTACGAATYCGATATGTAAAAGACCACTTGCTATGCAGACTGTCAAAAGAGCATGTTTCAAGTACTGGGTTAGWAACCACGCCCTCCGCCCGGGAGTGACATTGATTCACCAGACATAACAATCGTTTATTTTCGTACAAGCCGACACGCGTTGGGCCTATTACACCACAAGGTATGCGAATATTGATTGGCGCATATCTGCCTTCATAAAAGCAAGAATGTTTAAAATGCAAAACTGACTGAGGGTAGAGGTCATTAATGGTGTAAACGCGCTGATATGTATTGTCCTTGTAGAACTGGTTTATATCTTAGCTTTACCACATGATCTGCATACTGTTTTTATCATCGCAACTGCCAGGAGATCAATCAATAATAGTCCATTTGGACATCCTGCGTTATGCAACCGATGCAAGTACAGAGCAAACTATAAATAGAAGCGATCAGACGTTAAATATGAAATAGTTCAGACCGGCCATACTGCAAAGGAAGCGTTTGGATGTTTGAGTGGTCTTATAAGRAGGACGAACCGGGGATCATCATCGATACCCCATTATTAAGTCGACTCAAGTGGACGACTGAGCCGGCTTACGTTGGTTGTGAGTCATACTAATGAGATAAAAGTATCTTCATGTGCTATCAAAAACCGATATGGTCAAATTATGGCAGCTCCACGTAGTCCTAAAGAAGCAAACTTAATCCAAGCATAACTGCCGCGAAACTTTGCTTTGGACATGAAGTTGTACTGGCAGGTGGGCGTGACTCTGTTTATGTCATTATTAATATTTYACTTTGATGGACAGCCGAATTGCTCTCAAGAAAATAACAGCAGTTTTGCAAAGCTTCAGCTTAACAAGAGATATATATCTTACGGTGTTACTGAAGATGAAGGATTTAACAGCAGACTTGACGTTTTTATTCGAGTTGCAAACTTGATCAAATCATTGCAGAAAAAGGAACAAAACTTGATTTTAGTACTACCCCCATGGGAACATCTTAGACACTGGAAATCTCCCTTTTCCCAGGAAAAGATACCTTGGAGAAYGTTTTTCGACTTAAAAARTTTAAAAGCGTACTTAGATGTTATTGAAATGGATGATTTGTTAGAAATGGAAGCGGCATTTCAGTTTGATAAAGTTTATATCCTTCAAAGAGATTTACATTTAGTCTTCGAAGATAACGAGATTGTCGAGAGGTCRCCTTGTTTAGTGATTCCGGAATATCATCGTGACATCACTGGATTGTACAGAGGAATTCTGGGATACAATGAGCTGTTTACGCATGAATATGAATGTTTATCTTTGCGTGGCACTGGTCGAAAAATTCTGAAATTCCTGACTAGCAGCGCAATATTAAAGAGAAAAACAAGGTTTGTTGGTATTTATTGACCTTTATTCAACATTTTTTTTAAGTAATTAGATTGGTAATTGTCAATAATTTGGATAATTCCTTTGTTCTACCGATCTATTATTAATGAAATTAATTAAGGTATCCGGCGGTTATTTAGAATCTCTTTATTGATTATCCAGTATTCATTTCACATTCATCCGCTCAAAATTTCACTTTCACACAGTTACTCATTCCAGATGAATATCATTTTCTTGTTTTTGTACTACTACTTCCTTTTCTTTTCTTCTTTTTGTTTCTTTTTTAATCCCATTGTTCCTATTCGTTTTCATTATGCGTTTCGATTCCGTTTCAGTAAAGGCAATCATAGGTATAAACAATCATTGCGCTACAGTCAGAAGGTCTGAATAAATAATTAGTRTATATAAATGAAATTATTTTTTAATGAGACGAATAGATTCTGATTTTGTACATGTTGCGTTCCAACAAGAACGTCTGGCGGAATACTTTTACAGCTTCTCYTGTTTTTACTCTGAAGATAATAAAAAGAAGCCTCACTAGCAAACGTATAATCTTATAAATTTTTCTAAACAGATAATAATCGATAAGTTTTGTCTTTCTTTCCTACCATTTATACATCACCTGTCAAAAGCTGGTTCTCTTTTGTGGCTGTGAATTGTACTTTAAACTATTTTCATGACAGGGTGTTTTGCTCTTTTGTTCTGCCGTTTGTGGTCACAGGTATCAAAGGTTGCTACAAGTGCTAAGCTTGGTTAAGACTAACAAAAATAGAAACATTTGAAATAGTAGAGGATTATAGAGYTTTTCAAAACCTCTCTGTTCACTTTCTCTTGACAAATTTCCCTTCTGGAAAAAAAGAAGTACCCACCCCACCCCACTAAATCGTGGTCAATGGTKATTGGYTCGGAGATCAACCAATAGAAATAGAATATTCTAGCCATTGTCAAGCTGAGGATATTTTCTCGCGCTCAAAATCAAAGATGGTGTCTGCTACGTTGAACCGGCGAGATTTTGTTATAATAGTCTGTCTGATTTCTTCTCTWTTGAGTGGGAAGCACGCAGATAAGCTTGATGATCAACTAGCRTTTGAAACACCCAGTCAACATGGCTTAAATGTCGGCGTAGCTGAGTCCAATATCACCGAAACACGATATCTGATCTATGATGTGAATCCTGGAGAGGGATTCAATCTCAGAAGAGACGTCTATTTGAGGGTATCAAACTTGATAAAACTGCTACTAGAGAAGCAGAAATGGGTGTTAGTTCTTCCACCCTGGAGACGACTTTACCATTGGAGATCACCGATTCACCAAACCGGTCTACCTTGGGAGACATTTTTCGACTTGAAAAACTTGAACAACTATGTCCCAGTTATCGACTTCAAAGATTATRTAAAGCAAACAGGAAGCCATTCTATTGACGAGATTATTTATTTACAAAGATATGCTGAAGGATGGAAAGATGGAGTGTGGGAAGAGAAGATAGACGACCGGCCGTGTATTGATAATCCAGTTTATCAAAAGGGAGACGATGGCAATTTTCGTGGGTATTTTTGGGATATGCCCGAAGTTTTCGCGCGAAAATTTAAATGTGTATCAGCCCAGGGAACTTCAGAAATTTTGAGATCCGTACTAGAGAAAAGTGAATCGAGGTAATCTTCCTAAATAAGTCATTTATGGAGTGAAGAACTAATTGTAAATCATAATGTCCCTTTATGAAAGAAATCTCTRTGGTAACMGAAATTGTAATATTTATTTTAGAGRTAATTGCCATCATTWATCTACAAATTTCAATCAATTATATTCTAACAAGTTTTATATATTTGAACACAAATAATATAATCCTGTATAGTTGATTTAATGTTTTATCTTCTAGCATAAAAAACTTTCTTTTATAAATGTACATGATTCATCGCCTAAGGCTTCACAAGTCTATCACACTTTTTTTTTATGGTCACACTTTATATTACCTTTTTAGAATGATTTTTGTGTAACTTAATAAACCAGTAGAAATGACTGTGAGACAGTCTATTGTCCACTATGATCAAAACAAGACTATGATTAGCTTACTACAGTCTACACAGTCTAACCAGTTGTTCTTTGCAACTCCAAGCAGGACCTGTGACATCATATTTATGGCTAGAAATAACAAACACCTGGGGAGTAGATTGCAATTGACACCTCAGCTAGATGTCATTCCAAGCTCATTTGCTTTGTCTGTTTTAATATTCGACAGATCCATATTTGTTGACCGTTTTGAAGAAGTCCTACACATTCATTATGGACAAAGGGATTATTGGGAAGTAAGTKTATCCTTTGGTCATTTGAAAAAAACAATGCAGCCTCTTTTATTTAAGTTCCTACCAAAGAAGTAAAGAGGAGYAATCATAAAGCTCTTGTTMACAATCAGAGTTTCATTGTTTGGCCTTGTATTTCACCAGGCCAGAAGAAGTTTGGTGTTTGCAAAGCATTTACGTGATGAAGGTGACAAATTCCGCAGAGAAAAACTCAATTCTACTGATGAAGAAGATGAAACAGTGATGGATGACGACTGGAGAAAGAACAGAAAGAAAGAAGGCTCTGCCAAAGGTGGACCATATCTTGCTGTTCATTTAAGAAGAGCTGATTTCCTTTATGCCCATCCAGAAAAGGTGCCATCTCTTGATGGAGTTGTTAAGCAAATAAAGAAACTATTAAAGAAACACAAATTAGAAAAGGTGTTTGTAGCAACAGATACTGAAACCAAAGGTAAGAGTTACAAAAAATGGTTGTTGATAGTAAAAATTGCATGTACATAATCAGCCCAAAATGGAAGTGCCAATCTTCTTCTTTGGTAAATAACACTGCAAGAGCATATTTATTGCTTTTACATCAAAAATAGGAAACCTAGCCTCAAGAGAATGTCAGTAGTGCCCCTTGTTCAGTCAGTGTATGCATTTTCAATAAAGACTATAACAGTAAGAGCTGTTGAGAATTGCCTCCCCACCCCCTCCCCTTCCATTTTCCCACTCCTCCCTCCCCTAGAGCCGCCACGCAGGCTATGTGAGGCGGGTTTATAGTACGTATTCCATATATGGCACAAACTAACAAGCCAATAGAAGCACCTGACAAGTGAATAGAGGCACCTAACAAGCGAACAGGGGTCCATACTTTTTTTCACTTGTATATTTTTCTACAGTTTTTTATTGACTTATTCAAACTTTTTAGCTACGCCTTAACTTATTAAAAATTTTCTTATTGAATTTTAACTTTGAATTATGAATTTAACATTTTATAGCCTGACCCCGTCCTTTTCCCTAAACCTAACCCTTTGACTACAAATGTATAGCGCCTTAACTAACTTAACCACGAGAGATTATGCTGGTAAACAACGAATTGTTTGTGACATTTAAAGTATTTTGCATTGCTAATAGCACCAGTAAATTGGGATTCCTTAGGGACCGCTATTCGCTTGTTAGGTGCTTCTAATCGCTTGTTAGGGACCGCTATACGCTTGTTAGTTAATACTATATATGGAATACGTACGACAACCCTTACTCGGCTATGTTGAGAACAACTTTCTGTATTAGCCTAATATTATAATTCATATGCAATGTGTCAAAATTCCTATGACCACTAGTCCATTCCAAGGTTCATGATGTGAAGATTGAGCCCTCCTCMATCCTTGGGTCCAGTCTCTCACTCTKTCTACAAGAAGCCCAAAAAGGAGGAAAATCCTTAAATTAAACTTTGATTTCTTGAMTGTTAAATGGTTGGCACCCCTGCTMCATGARTCATGTTGTAATTGTTAATATAGATATTATGAAAGGTTCATGTATATCCAAGAATCTTTGAACAATTTTTTCATGATATATGAAAAATCTTTGACTTTGAATCAATTAGAAAGCACTGTTGCCTTTACACAATAAAGTGATTGTAACATTTTTCATTTTATAGATATCAAGTACCTCAAAAAGAAACTACCTTTAGTGAAGTATGTGCCAAAAAAGTCATTACTGGAGAAATATGGAGATGGAGGAGTTGCCATTATTGACCAGTGGATTTGTGCACATGCAAAGTTTTTCATAGGAACTTGTGAATCAACATTTTCATTTAGAATTCATGAAGAGAGAGACATTTTAGGTTTCCATGGTGATCAAACGTTTAACTGTCTATGTGGTGATAAAGAGATTGGGAAGTGTGAACAGCCTACTAAATGGAGAATAGTTTATTAGAAAGAGATTCCAAATACAATATATGAAGGAAGTCAATCTAATTTTATCAACATATAAAAGTTAATCACCTTTCTTTCATCTTTGCATATCTCATATCTCATCTCTCAGTTCAGCTGTTGATAGACTGAATGCATTTAATCCATGAATGTATACTACAYAAAAATAGCACAAAATTGTATGTACTAAATCTGGTACTTCTTTGAATGACCACGATTGTTCTTTGTGAACGACACTTATTAAATTGGACAACACAGTGTACTAAATAGGGTGTCAGTACAATTTAAGGGATTATGTGCTTTCACTCTAGTGTTGTAACTATCTCATAAATGCATATATCTCAAATAAATTTAGTAAGATTTGTCATAAACATAAGACTAGTTAGCATTTGCTTCTATAAAAATTATAAGGRCCTTTATTTAAATGAAAGTACTTTAGGTAGGTAGATAATAATAATAATTGGGGACATAAACCTTACAAGGTGGCAAGAAAAGAGAATTAAAACATCCAACTTGTCATTAAACTGAAGTTTGTGAACTAAGTTTGTTGCCTTTACTTGGAAAATTAATAACAGCAAACTGTTACACAAACTTGTTATTTGTACAACAAGATGGCTCAACCTGCAGCATCTATGTTTGGTGTTTGACAAGTTAGATGGGCATCTSACCATCTGACAGTTTTGACATCCCTGTCAATTGTAAAATCAATATCACAACATRCATGTAAGTAACAGGTGAAGCCTAGAAAATATTTTTGAAATACAGTTTTAAACAAAGAGCAATTATATTCAAAATTAGGAATTGATTCTAGCAACAAAGAGTTCAGTATGTAATAAACTTTATTTAAACAAAGTGTTATATTGTCTTTAAATAATTTTTGTCTTGTGTTCATACAAAATAAAATAAAATGTTAATAAAAATAACATTTTTGGMCTAACTGAAAGATAACAATAATGAATAATTGAATTAAACCTCTTTATATTTCATAGTTGTTGTTTAACCATCAAACTTCAAAATACTATATGAACAACAAGCCTAAACAAGACTGTGTATTATCCTGAAGTAAAAGGCCATATTGCAAATAGTAAAGTAAAATGTATGRGAAATAGAGAATCTCACCAGTATTCACCAATTCACTTTGCACAAAATMCTAAAATCTAAATGACTATTCTACAACTTGATAGTCACCATGGCCTATTGTCAAACCAAGGTTTTGTTCAAAATATTTAGTTGTCTTTTTTTACTCAAGAGCATCGAAATATCATTAATACCTATACACCTTTACCATAATCGCCGCCATCTAATTAACATAAATTTTTACAATTTAGAATTTTAGTCAAAGTAAACTAACAGCTGATAGGAACCTGTGTTAATAACARCATATAAAAGTTTKAAATGAAAATATTAAATTCTGGTGAAGTTATAAAGATTTAAAATATATCATAACACCAGAACGAGGCTATAAAGGCCTTGGCTGAAAATTACATACATTTCTTGTATTTTCATTTAGCCATAACTTTGTTCGCATTTTATCCAGGGCTGTAAAACTTTCCAAAAATGTTTATTTTTGGTAGTTCATTCACATGGCAGTGACAAAGGTTTCACATATTTCATATTTAGAAACAAATAGACAGACAGCCACTGTTGGAAAAATACATACATTTCTTTGTATTTTCATTTCACCATAACTTTTTTCCTATTTTGTCAAAAGATCTAAAACGTTCCAAAAACGTTTATTTCTGATAGTTCTTTGATGTTACAGTGACAAAATATTCATATCTATTTTATTTTGGAAAAACACAATTGCAGCCATTATGGTAAAGGTCTATGACATTCCAAAAAAAAAAGAAAACAGTTCATTGTTTTGTTTTACTTAAATAATTCATGTTGATTTACTAACTCATGTCAAAAACAATTTAAAGAGCCAACTCAAAAGGCCAAGTGTACAAAATAATCACRATTTAAACATGACCCATATATGTTTATAAAGTAATGTCACTGTACAATATTTGTGCTATTTTGTCAAGCATCCATTTTTTTATCACTTTTATCACAATCTTCTTTAACTGCTTCTTTGTTTATATCTAAAGGTGATGATRCTTGACTTGTAGTTAATGTCCCTGTACTACTTGTACTACTGGAGGTGGCTGCTGCTTCCCGARAAGTAACAGAAGTCACTGTAGAAGATGATTTAGTACATGGTATGACTTGGGTTTTATTTTCCTCAGTTGTACATTTGTCTTCACCAGATGTTTTAGAAACATCAGCACTTAAATCAACCATTTTGTTAGTGCTAGCTTCTGAAATCGTTGCAGCTGTAATCTTTGGTATCTTTTCTGCTAATACTTCATTCTKGCCATCTGAACTCACTGTGCAAGGTTCAGAGAGAATGGCAGTGGTGGAACTAGAGGTGACTGTAGTTGGTTCAGATGAGACCAATGAAGAGGTTAATGYGGAGCTTCCAGTAGAAATGATTGTATTGGTTTCCAATGGCATTGRTGTGGAGCAAGGGTTGGATGACCTAAGTTCCGAGGGAGTGATAGAAGTGGCAGTAGAGGTGACTGTATTAGGTTCAGATTGAATGACGGCTGTGGATGTAGAAGTGACAACACTGGATTCAGTTGCTGCTGTAACAGATGTGGACAACAAGGTGGATGTTTTAGGTTCAGATGGAATGATAGAAGTAGAAGTAGATGTCACAGTACACTGAGRAGCTGATGACTCTGTTGTAGCCACACCTGAAACTGGCAAASTGGCAGAAGCTACAACACTTGAAGGAGGTACTTCCAAAAGTGCTGTACTTGTAATACCAACAGATTCCTTTGTAAGGTCAGAAGTTGATGTAGCCGGTGCAGATGTCAMAGATGGAGACGAYGTTGCACTGCACACTGCAACTAGACTGGCAGCAAGAAGAGTTGGTGAAATGCTTTTGATGCCTGCAGGCGTTGAGGTACCAGATGCTGGACTCATRAGCTCCATCGGCGTAGATTCAGATGATCCTATTTTTTGGGGCTGCTCAACAGCAGCAGATTCAACATCCATTTTYTCAAGTTTCAAATTTGGGATTGGATGTTTAGGTTTAAACACTACTGTATCTCTAGCCAAGTGTGGAGTTTCAGGTGTATTACTGGCATTGCTTGGAGTTGACGCTGGTGCTAATGGTGGGATAAGGGCACTTGACTTTTGTTGCAAAGCTTTAGGGATGGGTAATTGTTTATCTTGCATGGCCATCTCAGATACATCTGGAAATGGTTTAAGAATACTCTTGACATCTTTCAGCGATTCTTCTCCTACTTTCCTTTCCCTATACAACATTTAAAGCAAAGACATGTTAACACAGATGACAGGCAGTTTGGAACAATAGTGTGTTGCTTTCTTATTTCTGGCCTTGTTTTTCTATTCTCCTTTCACAAAGAGAACATTCATAGACATTTCACTTGGTGTTCTTGACAATAGGTAGAAACACAAGCCCAGAAGTGTAAACTTAATTTTGTTATGAATTCTTCTGTTGAAGTGCCATTTTTTTAAAAAAACATACACATTTTCAGTGAATTTCTCTARAGTGTCAGTGTTCTCTGATAGCAATACTAAGTTGTTCATACGACTGTTCACTATATAGTTAAAGTAATGCATTGACTGAACTTCCTATGGAAAGAAGACATATTTGAATATCACAGGTAAAAAACAAGAAAAAAATGAAAAAAATATCTCAACAGCTTAAGGGTGTACTGACGTTTATCATATGACCCGTATTTCGGCCCTATGCACGCTCTCACTGAAACCTTTGGAAAATGGTCGCGTGATGTGGTACGTACGCCTTTTCGCGACAGGTCCGTACAAACCCGTATTTTCCCGGCTTGAAGCTCCGCACGCTTTTATTTATTTTTTTACATTAAAAAATGCTGATTGACTGAGTTAGGCCGGGCCGTACGGGAAAATATTTGGCTCTCGGTCATTTGGCATAACCTCCCACTCAGTCAATAAGTACATAATCTGTTTCTAGACGACCTGGTTGCTATGCTAGCCGATGCTAGCCAATCGTAGAAGCGGGCGCGCGCGTGTTTTCATGGCGGGAAAATTTTTACTTCTGGTGGCAAGGTTTTTGTTTACATAAAATGTATGGTATCATATTTTAAAAAATATAATCTTCGGTGCGAAACACCAAATGGACGTGTTTTTTTTCAATATTTATGTTCTTCACAGCCTCCTCTTCAGAACCAAGCATGGGTTTGGCGAAAAAATTAAAAAATACGAAAGTTATTGGCATTTTTCGCTTATTTGTGGCATTTAAAAAATCGWAAAAAGCTTATTTTGTAATCATTCTAAAAACGCATGCTTGGATTTACAGACTTAAATCTAAAGATTAATTTCATCCATTTTAAATCGTTTAATATACTTTGCCTGATGAAATCAATGCATTTTTTCCTATTAATGACGTCACGCGATGACGTCATACAATGACGTCATGGAATGTGTTATTTTTGTTTGGGAAGGCTTAATACTCAATACAAAAGCGATTTTACTTTTGTTTGTGATTTTAGAGAACTACTGAATTTCCCTAGCAACGGATATGTCAGTACACCCTTAAGRCATGATTGCAGACTTACAGGTCACGTTTGGCAGCTTCTTGTAAGTCACTCTCTACATTTGWTCTCATTGGCTCAGCTGTCAGCCTCACATGCAGTTGACAAGTGGAATAGGTAAAGACTTTAGGTATCACATTGCTGCACGTTTTATTGTCACCTGTTTTAAATGAACAGTTTTGGAAGAGAAGCTGATTAGGGTCATGACTGATATCTGATTTAAGTGTCAAGGTTAATACATTTTTACTTAAAATATTAATAACAATTTAAGTTGTCCACAAACATATTTGCTACATTCACACTCACTTAAAAAATAAAAAAAAAACCGATTATGGGTGTTTTAAAATGTAGTTCAAAACACTCTACACAGCTGGTTCTTAAAGGGAACCTAGGGCAACTGAGGGGAAAAATTATGAAGAGATTGAAAACTGACTTGCAAAACAAAATTGGGTTTGATGCCATGACATGACAGGGCTTGATTAATCAGACTACTGAATTGCCCAATCAATATTACTCCTCATAACCACATGTTATTCATCATCACACACTTCATTGACTAATGCACCTGGCACCACGCTGCTCAATCTGCTACATCAGGTAGGAGGTCTTTAAAGTATTCCTGCAGTTTTGACAAGTTGTTTATTGATTCAGGGACATTAGAATACTTTTGTTCAATGCAAACTACATGTAGATAAATATGCACATGAAAATATATACAAAAAATGTCTGACACTTATTCAGAGACTTTATATTCTTAAAGACTGCATTCTATAATTCATGCCATTAGCACCAACATAACTTTAAGTTTGCAGTTCTTATTCAGCAAAAAAGTCAAACGATTTTAAAGGAAGTTAGAATTGAAAAGGATACGATGAATACAGAACTTTGTAAGAGGTAAAATCTTGTTAGARCATCGCATGCCGTCACTGACATGAGTACATCGTTGGTGAGTTGAGTTTTGATGCCGTGATGAAATGCCATGTCTTTTTTCTTTAGCTTGCTTGTGAAGGATGGCTTCAACTCCATGTCGCTTCGAATGCGAAGATGTTCCAAGTATTTCAGAAGGAGAAGCATGCCTCTCTCCTAGGACATAAAAGAGTTCAATGAATAAATCAAACACTAGATAACATGCATAACAAAGTTTGAAACAAACCTTACAAAAATACTTGTATCAACAGGATTGTTAAACAAGAAAATTTACAAAAAAATACCCACATAAACACACAAAAAAAAACAGGGATAGACCAAGGCCACTAAGGTTCCCAAAGCAGTTCCGTCTTTTTTTTTCCTCGGAAATGTTCTCAAAATTTGGGGTGCGGCTTATCTACAAGAGCAGCTTATAATTGAGTAAATACTGTAGTCTCAATTCTCTTTCAAAGTGTTTTCACTTTCCCCTATAAAATGGCTGATTTAAATTGTGTTTTCACAATGCCCTTTTTCTTTTGTAATATTATAAACCACAATAATGTTTAACAAATCTCCTAAGAGAATAAAATTTGAATAAATTAGTTTACAGCACCATGCTCCAAGTGCATCATGTAACAATTTAACACCTAAATCATCTAATCAATTTATTATTCATTACAACCTTAATTGATTCATTTTTGTTATTTCATTTATTTATCCATTTCATTTGCATTTAACCCACATTCCATGTTCGTTCAACGTTTCACATTGTACAATATGCCAGAGTTCCAGTTTACCTTTCACAACATTCTTACCTTCATTCTCCTGCTCAGMTTGGATAAGTTGAAGGTACTTTCTTCTCTTCTCCTTCAAGACATGAAAAAGTCTCTTGTACTGTGCCATGTAAAGGGACTTTAACCTTGTCATCTTGTCAACACACATTTTTGACACTTCATCCACAGTCCATGTTCCAGCATGCCTGATATAATATCAAAAACATGGTTTTGTGTGAATGTACAGATTGTACAGTGCCAAACCACACTTAAATTGTATGCAATTAGAATGTGTTTTTTTTTGTTTCAATAACAATTGTTTCTAAGAATACAGAAAAAAAGAGAACATGTGAAAAGATTTCATTTCATTTTATGTGATGTAAAAACATCTGRCATTTTCTGTTCAAATTGTTGCTGATCATGTAGAAGAGAAAATCAACCACTTCTTCTATAAAGAAGGCAAAGACTAGGCAAAGACTAGTGCAGCACTGAATGAACACCTTAGATAGTCCTCTTCTTCACTGTCAACTGATTCAGCATCACTGTCTATGTCCCCATGCCATGCACTATCAACCTTCAAWGATCCTCCAGCCCCTAAGTCTGTGCTCAGTTCCTCATCTAGAAAGAAACAAAGAACCAATCACAATGAGGAAAGCTACAAAAATATCTGTATTTCACTTGATGTCCACTGTACAAAGAGAACAAAAATTGTTGTTTACTCAAACATCTTAAAGTATTTTAATACTTAAATTAATTTATTAAATTAAATTAATTATTATTTTAATACTTAGTATTTTAATTAAAATTTCCTATGCACTGTTTTGTTCTATTCATTGATTTCATGTTACGTCATTGTCGCCATGTTTGATGACATAAACAAAGCTTTCCTCAATAGTTTAGCTTGTTCATTCATTCAGCATGGYGGCGAKAGCTCTATTCTTTAATTCTCCAGGGATTCCTGATCAYATGGTTGAAACCCAAGACTTTGGAATACTCAAGCCTYAGTCACCATTTGGAGAATTTTCATGGGTAATTTCATGAGAACAATATGATGCTTTTTGTGATACATGATATTCATTTTTGATAAAGTCTCTACATTAAAATAGMATCCTACAAAATAAGAAATCAATTTGCCTTTGGTACTTGAAAAATACTATGATTTAGGGGTCACGATCACCAACACATTGATCCTCTTTGGATTATCTCAAATATATAAATGAAAAAATGTAAGAGACCTTTTAGCAGTGAATTTCAAAAGCTTACCTGATGATGGTGCTTCATCATCCCTTTGTGATCCATCTAGACTTTTTTGTGAAGCAGAACTAGAAGTTCTTCTTCTTTTCCCAAATMCACTTCCTTCACCATCACCTTCAACAGTACCACTATGCTCCCTTTGTCGTTTCTTTTTCCTCTTTTCAACTGCTCGACGCAACTCAGCTTTTCTTGTGTGTATTAAACAATAGCTGAAACAAGTTAACACCAATGAAATGTAAATTTATTTTGATGTTCAACTTGATTGATAAATGTATGCTATTGAAATTATATTTTTTGGCCTTTTTGAAATAGAGACTCAATGTAATTAAATTCTTCTCAGAGATGAAATTGTTTTCATTGTCAATAATTACAGCATCTATTTTAAT